AGGTTGAATGTTGGAATTGTGGCAAACCTGGTCATTTTATGAGGAGTTGCACAAAATCAAAAAAACCTGAAGCTGATTTTGCAAACGCCATTACAGACGAGGTACAAAATGCTTTGATTCTTACTGTATATAGTCCTATTGATAATTGGGTTCTTGATTCTAGTGCTTCATTTCACTGTACACCACACCATGAAATGATGCAAAACTATATTGTTGGAGATCACGGTATAGTCTATCTAGCCGATGGACAACCATTGGATATTGTGGGTATAGGAGATGTGCAAATCAAGACAATGAATGGATCTATATGGAACTTGCAAAATGTAAGGCATGCTCTTGGACTAAAGAAGAAGTTGATCTCAGTCGGACAACTTGATGATAGTGGTCATTCAATCCTTTTTTCTGGAGGAATGTGGAAGGTATCAAAGGGAGCAATGATTTTGGCTTGTGGAAAGAAAACCGGCACCCTGTATATGACCACGAGATCAGCAGACATAATTACCTCTACTAAAGCAGAAAATCAAGCACAACTATGGCACTGTAGACTCGGCCATATGAGTCAAAAGGGGATGAAGATATTCAGTTAAAGGGAAAGCTGCCAGAGTTAAAAAATATTGATCTATACATTTATGAAAGTTGTGTTCTCGAAAAATAGAAGAAACTCAGTTTCTTAAAGGTTGGCAGGACCTTAAAACCAAAAAAGCTAGAACTGGTGCACATAGATTTATGGGGACTAGCTCCAGTAGCATCTCTTGGAGGTTCTCGGCATTATGTGACTTTTATTGATGACTTCAGCAGGAAGGTATGGGTCTACTTTCTGAAAAATAAATCTGATGTGTTTGAAACATTTAAGAAATGGAAGGCTATGGTTGAGACTAAATCAGGTTTGAAGTTGAAATGCTTACGATCTGATAATGGAGGAGAATACATTGATAGAGGTTTCAAGGAGTATTGCGTTGTCAACGGTATCAGAATGGAAAAGACAGTTCCAGGCATACCACAACAGAATGACATTGATGAACGGATGAAGAGGACCATCAATGAACGAGCTAGAAGCATGAGGTTGCATTCTGGGTTACCTCAAACATTTTTGGGCTGATGCAGTTCATACTGCAGTTTATTTGATCAATTGTGGGCCATCATTTCCTTTGAAGTTCAGACTGCCCGAGGAAGTATGGAGAGGAAAAGAAGTATAACTTTCTCATTTAAAGGTCTTTGGTGTGTTTTCTATGTGTATGTAGATTCTGATGCTCGCAACAAGCTG